CAACTTTGATTTCCTTGCTTTTTTTCTGGCTGTCGGCTTTGTTTTCTTATAAACTTCCCCAGCTGTCTTCACAAAGAGGAGTACATGAAATATAAAATCCCGTTTTCCCACTATACATCTGTTGACATATTATACACAACTTCTCAGAAGCCATAACAACTCGAGTTTCTACTATAAATGTATTTAAACCCAATTTACTGCGCGCGCAACTTGTTCCACTGAATAGATAGGCAGATCGAAAGGGTTTCGTTTATCTGGTGAACACATTGATCCGTATTCCGGAATAGAAAGCCCAGCTGCTAAGGAGGGGAGCTCATAGACAAAACATCCACGGCAAATAAAGGTTATTCAAGATTTCTGACTCACTCGCTTCAGGTGTTTGTATTGTTCGGCAATCCTTGAAACATCAAACAAGGGGCGCCTTTTTAAATCCACTCTGTGCAGCTGAAACTGTCAGTAGGGTTAATTTTCATACGTTAAGAAAATGTATGGACGGAATTGGCCAGTTGTGGCATTTTATTCGCCTCGTAGCAGGACAAATGACATCCGTTGTCTTCAGCCCTTCGGGCATTGAGATATGAAATCTCCCGGTTGCTTTTTTATAAATGTTGGAGCATCGTTGACAATATTAAAACATTTTAATTTCTCATGACAGGTGAACCTTCCTATTTTATTAATAGACAGCCAGGAATTTTTATTTTCTTCCCTGTAAAAGTGAAGAAGAAGTTTAGTTTAAGATCAACACGATTACTGTCTGCTTGTCATATTTTCACTTGCTTTGCAAACAAGAAAGTGGGAAACTGACCTCAGTGGATGTCAACACAATGTAGCAAGCTACAACAACCGTTATTTCATCCGCGTTTGGTTTTGTTTAGTTTGAATTAAAATCTTTTCCTGCCCAAAATCTCAACTGTCTTGCCTTCTATTATAGTTTTATTCGCTAAACTCCTAAGCTAATTTTTTTAAAGACAAATGTGAGGAATGTGCAGTTCTGTCTGGCAGTTTATAAAGAACTTCTGAGGACAAAACATCATAAAAGCTGCAGTGAAATAAGACTTTTATAATATGTAATGTGGACTTTTTAAACGACAGACTGTAGAAGTTAGTCACAACAATTGTGAAAACTTGAATAAACAGTTCGAAAAAGCTATAGAAACAATATAATGAATGCAACAATAGAAGATACTTGGCCCAATCTGAGGTGGTCTCAAAAAAAAAACACCGTAAATACTTAAATCTTCAAGAATTTATGTTTACAAACTAAACATGAATTTTGAGGCCTGCGGGAGTGCACATGACTGGAGTTTATAAAGCTTAACGTAGTGAATACGGTGCCAATGAAAAATTGCACAAACGTTTTCTGATATCGAGTTTTTAAGCTGATTTTTCGTCTTTAGGTATGATTTCTGCTTGCAAAAATGCAAGGCAAGCTGACAGAATGTTGATTTGTATACTAGGGGGAAAATGAGCACTCGAAAACTTGGATGAATGGCTTACAGTTGTCTTATTTTCACTTCACTGGCTTTGTTCTGGTAAAAATATAAGAGCTGACAGTCGCTGCATAGTTTTAATATTGTCATATTAAACGTTTTCCTTCTAATTAAATATCTTTTATTCAACTGAAATATCGATATTGCTCATCGCTCAAAAATAACGTCTTAATACTTAAAACTTATTTACCTCTTAGTCGGTTTTGACAATATTCTCATATATCGCGCACTTACAACGGTTATAAGTTGCAAAGTAAAATGTCCATAAATCACGTGCAACCAAGATAGGGCAAAATTTGTGACTAAATCAATATTAGTTTTGTTTAATTCCACGACACGAATTAAGTTTTCCCCACTAGGTGGGATTTGCTACTAGTTCCATCTTCTGAAATTGGGTTGGATATCAATATTTTCGAACTGAACAGCTTCCCAAGATAAAATACAAGTTAATATCTGAGCAATATATGAGGAAACTAGTGTGACGTCCGCGCGTCTTGTAAATTTAAGGTTGACACACCGCCGATAAATAAATCATTTCATTGGCGCCTTGTTCAGAATTTTATGTTTTTAGACAAGAACACGCATCTAGCGGCCATTATGAAAATTCTGTCTGCTAGCACTCGATTTAAGCATATGAGATAAGCGGAAAACGTTCAGTTTTCTTGCAACGGCAGAGTTTTCGCGGCAAAAAAAAATCAAAGAATTAAACCGAAGGCTTAAATCAGGGTCGCGTGTATATTTTCCGTAGCAACGCCGGCGCGTTTATAAATCGTTCTCCGCGTGTTTAGCGTCGAAGATGAACGTTTTAATGACAAGTTAAGTGTTTTCATGATTCCTAACTCCACTGGGTTGTTGAGGCAACCTCGTCGACTTGGCTTTGATAATCGAAATCAATTGAGATTCTCTTCGGGTCTAACTTTTCTCTTAGCAACTCTGTGTATGCTCGTTTTGCAATACGACTCGTATTTCTCGCGTTGGATGCTCGGTCGTAGCGGGGTAGCTTTGAAGATTTAAAAATACTTATTGCGCCATTGTGCCCTCGTTCGTTGAAACGCTCGTTTTAATAAGAAAACAATTTCGTCAAGTGCGAAGATGCCAAGTTTAATACATCGTCTAGGAGGGTTTTACATTGACTGAAAATTCTTTCTGACTGTAGAAACCTTGTTTTAAAGTAAGCGTGCTTTGATCTTATAATCAAGTTTAATTATATAAAGGCACAAACTCAAAAGAGAAATGCTCTTTCTATATTACAATAAATAGGTGCAAAGACGAATGAATTTTCCCGACAAAGAGGCGAGGCGTTTGAATAAGAATTGTGTAAAATTTTTCGCGAGATGCACAAAGAAAGAACAAACAGGAAGATATCTTGATGAAAACGCGCGAAAATTAAGAGATCAAATGGCTCTCTGAAATTTCAGGCAATGAATTTGGATTAAGTGCATGATAGTCCTAGAAGACTTTCAATTTGACGCCAAGACAACTAGTCTCCCGCTACTATTCTGTCACTAACAACACAGTCACAAAATTATTAAGTTACCTTAGGTTTTTTGAAGTAATTTTCTCGGTCTGAGAATTTGAGGTTTTCTTACGCTGGCGCGCGCGGAAACTCAGACAGTTCTTTGGAAATCCAATGCTTTGGAGCAAGTATTTCTTTCATAATAACCGCTTCATACAGGAGGAAAATAGTTTATTCTTTCGCCGCCGGGTGGCCAAACAGTTTTACCGCACTTAATTCATATGCAGCTTTCTTCTTTAGTGTTTTCCGACTTTTTAAACAATCAATAAGGTAAACAAGTTTCGAAGCCGTTTAATTCCTGACAGAAGCTGATCGACAAAAGGCTTTAGAGAAGATGTTCTGTGTTTGAGTGGGAAGAGCCAGTGCTTAAACGATCTATAGGTGTGTAAAAGAGCTCCTGTTTAAGCATACCCCCTCCAGTTTCCAAAGAGGTTCCGAAAGCAAACCAATGTGCATAAGTAATCAAGTTTCATGACGCTAAACGCTTGGCAGTTAGCTTAACCCTTCGAGTTCGTTTTGACAGTTCTTATAAAGAAACGCGAGGACATTTTTCAAATACCTTTTAGATTTATTTACTCAAGGTTAAACAGCGTTCTCGTTAAAAACCAACAGAGATGGAAAATGCATACATGCTAAGAAAACCTTGCACAAATGTTTACAATTCGAAACTAGTTAAATATACGGTATAATCTAATAATTCAAATACTATTTAGATCTTTTAGAACGTGTACAATAAACACTTAGCGTTTTACCACGGTGGTCTGTAAAATGAACGAAAAAATAGAATAAAATGTTTATTCGACATCTATACTTACGTAAATGTTCGTAAATTTAAGTAACTCTGAAGCTGCTAAATCTAAAAGCTATATCGTATGTTAAAACTCAACTAAAATCATTTAACTCGGAAAGCTGTCTTCATTTCAAACACATCAATTTATATACATACAATTTTTGATTCAATGTTTCCCTTAAGTCGTATATAATTTCTTTCTCCACGAATCAAAATTTTTACACGATAAAAATATGATTTTTTATACACTGTGATTTGGAAGATGAATTTGTTTGGCTTTTTAGAATTACGCACATTACAAGCTTGCCTTCCATATGTTTTAGCTTCTGAATCTGAAAAAAATCTCGTGTTGTAGCAAAAATAGGCCTCTGGAGTTGTAATCTCGGCTAAGGAAGGCTTATTTAAGTTATTTCTGGGCGAAATAAAATTAAAAGAGACCTTGTCACCTAGTTGTTTTGTAACAAGGACCAATTTAAAACTGTCACCTTCATATTTCGCATTTTCACTGGTACCTTTGTGTTTCGAACATTTTGGCAGTTAAGGCACTTCTTCTCAAACCTGGCTTTATGAGCCTCTTAGCTTACAAAGAGACACCATTTCGCTGGATTTTTTAGGCGAAATAGTGCTTCAATTATGATTGAGTACGATCGCAAATGCTCCCAGAACTGACCAAAGTGAAGATATCAAGTGAATGTTGAAAGACCAGTAAATTGTAATAAGTTTCTTGTGATTTTCTCCAAGACACGACGTCGGGTTTAGAAAAATTGCCAGACATTTTCACAATCTGAAGGCAAGCTTGAGTTACGTAACCCGCAATGACTTTTCTTTTACATTTTCAGTTCATTTGATAGTAATTTTCAATAAAACTCAACCATTATCACTGAAAATATACCTGCAAGGTTTTAACTATTCGAGGTCATTGATGCTCACAACACCCCTTAAATTTAGCATGTGAGCTGTTCTAACCATGCCGTGTTACACTAAATGTTTCGTGGCGAATAAAGTTCCTTTTAGTGCGACGTTGCAGGCAAAATGTCCATCGTCTCGGTCACCGGAATATGGCTTGAGGAAGAACTGCCGTCGACACAGGAACTGCTCCGTAAAACGGCGCGAGTTCGCCGGCGTGATAAAACTGTTGTCCAAATCTTGCGATCTCGTATTCCTTTAAACGCTCGTGGTGAGTGCACGGTTTGGCGAAATACGCGCTTGGAACTGCAGACCAGAGTTTTCCTTGATAGCCCGGTAGAGCTGCGCTCGGAGGCGTGTTCATACAAGAGGGACATGTCGGAAGAGAAGGGATGGGGGTAGTCATGGCTGGGAACGACTGTACACTCTTGATGTCAGATCCAATGAGATTTTCTATGTTAAAAGGATGCTTAAAGCCTGACTGACTGACTTCAACGGGCGAGACACAGCCGCGAACTGCACTGTCATCTGTCATGTGAACTGCGCTATGTGCGGGATCTTTGGTCTCGTCTGTGATTAGCTTGGCCAACTTTGTCGTCCTCTCCTTCTCGGATTTGAAGCGCTTTCTTCGGCGCAGGAAGCTTCCGTTCTCAAACATTGCTCCGCAGTCTGGATGCAACGCCCAGAGGCTGCCTTTCCCAGGCTGATCAGGTCTTCGGGGAATCTTCAGAAAGCAGTCGTTGAAGCTTAGATTGTGTCGCAGGGAGTTCTGCCAGCGTTGCGTGTTTTCCCTGTAGAATGGAAAGTGATCCATAATAAACTGGTAGATCTCGCTCAATGACAGCATTTTCTGAGGAGAGCTTTGGATAGCCATGGCCGTAAGCGAGATGTACGAATAAGGTGGCTTTGCACTGCCGTAGCTATTCCGTAGAGGCCTCGGCATCGCGAGATCTTTCCCGTCCTTAAATGATCGCTGACACAGACGTTGGTTGGTCTTAACCGGCGGACGAGTACTTCTTAATCTTTAAAAACAACCTCGACACGTTCTGAATAAGCTTTGGGACAGATGTCGGGTTTTTGTACGCAGTTTACTGTGTACTTAAGTTATCGAAATAAATGGCACTGACTAAACACACCGACAAAACTTCAAAAATTTCCTTTGTTCGTCGCCGATTTGAGGGCTCGCCGTGCTCCAGGTTTCGATGTCATTCAATGTTGACACAACAGGTCGGCGGACCTGAACATTTCTATTAAATACAGAATAACTAATTAGCACATGCCTATCAAACCGAAACTTATCCAAATTACTCGTTAATTTTCTTATTGAAGTTTGGCCCACAACAAAAGGCCGGCTTTTATAATAGTTTAAATAAAATATTCAAATTTGGTTTGAACTTCTCTCACGTGTCACCGACCACAGCAGCTCACAAAGGCACCGTCGGCTCATTCTCCGAGGCAGGAAGTTTGTCATTCGTCGGCCTTGTGAAGTAATAAAATTCTCGTAACACGGACCGTTGAGTTCGTTCTGATTTAGCGTGCCGCTTGCTAGTTGTGGTCATTTTGTATTGTTGACAAGGCTAATTAAAAGCAGAGAGAGAACGTTGTAGTATTTCAGCTTACAACTGAGTCATTGATAAAAATATGAACCAGTTTATCGTTCAAAGGCAGTTCACTGCACTTTTATTACAATACATGTGAGCTTTTCTTTCCATTGTTGATCTGCCCTCTAGCTTTCCGGACACCGAACGCCGCTTAGATTCCTTTCCTTTAGGCAATAACACTCTTTGTGTAATAACTGTGGCCGGACGTTTTTCTGCTTGCAGTTGTATCATTGTCTAACGAAAAATTGAACACCAGTCCTAAAGTACATTATACGTTTTTTGCCTTATTACTTTTTTCATATTAGCGTGCACTAAATTGAGGGCTCATTTTGTAAAGCGCAAAGAAACGTCTATGTAGACTTTATTAAAGTTTTCTTTTGGCCATTTCGGGCATACTTAATAACTTGAAAGGCGGGCTGCGGCAAAGACCCCGGCAAAAATTAAACTAATTTTCAAAGTCTGAGAAATTGAAAAATGTTTCGCGGCTCGGCTGTTATTACCTCTGTATTCTAAGATGTAATAATCTGAATTGTTCTCGCCGATGTGAACGGCCCTAAATGTCCGCTCTTTACAAATTTGAGATAACGAAAACGTTTTCTATTTGTAAAGGTTTTATTTTGTTAAGGTTTTGTAACAATTACTTTAACAAAAGCATAGAGGCAACCCGGCACTCGTTAAAAAACGACAGTGGTTTCGCCTTAATGGTTTTTCGTTTAATTTCTTTCTTTAAAAGTGCTCAACCTGTCATTAAACATGGCGTTTCTGAGAGTAAATATTTTGAACAAATTCCGCAACGAGAAACTTACATAATCACTTTAATATCTAATGTCAATTTAAAGTGTCAATACCTCTGATGATTTTTCAAGAGAGTTTTAGCGTTAACATTTTATTCACTTATACGAAGAGTATTTATAATTTAGAGACTTCCCCAAGAAGAACTTAATGAAAAAAACACAAGTGCGTGCAACAAACGTGTTCCCACGACGTTTCATAATCTTAAGCTAAACACGACGTTAACATTGTTATAAATTGCTGTCTGTTTCGGCGTAATATTGTTCCTCTGTGGCTGTTGGCTATGTCACTACCTTGTTTAGTAATCAGTGCTATTATTGAATGAAAAACCTCTTGAATTTGCCGACAATTCTGTTTTGGTCTCGCAGGTGCCAGCATATATGAAACCCAAAATGAAAAGATCTATTCCCAAAACAATTGTGCAAAGCACGTTTGTTGTTTAGATTTAAAATGTAAACAATATTTTTTTTCATAGTTCGCGCGTATTGTGTTGTGAGACCGAAGTGCTTTGTTTTGAGAGGAAATCAATAGCGGAGGGGCTTGGGGACTCGTCATTAATGAATGGGACTCATAAAAAACACTCACAAAGCAAAGAATAGTGGAGCATCAAAGTAAACAACCTTTAACTTACATATTAAAAAAGATGAAAAGAATAAACACGTTTATTGCACCTTCCAACACTAAGCAATTTATCACTTTGCAGAAAATTGAAATGAAGAAAAGTTCATTTATAAGATCGGCGTTAAGTCGAAAAAGAATCTCTTTGATTTGTAATAACAGCACGTTTTTGAAGACGTAAAAGGCGGGTGGCAAGCTTTATCATAACACAATAAAAGATATCACGATTCTTAAAATATATTGAACATTTTGGAAAAAGAACACAAAAGTAAACGGAGAAACCATGACATTTGAAGAGGTTCTGTAGAGAATGCTATTATGTACGCTTTCGATTTTAAAACATCACCAACTGGGTTTATTCTATTGCAGATTTGATCAAACACGATAGCGAGTACATTTCTGAATTAAAATAAATATATGTTACTAGTTCAACCTTAAAAATGTCTTGTGTACTATCTATCATTCATGGTCAAGTCATTGTAACTAGTTTTACTTTGCCAGTTTGTAAACCACACTTGCTTGCGGTCAATAATAAGTGCGCTTGTTTAACAAAATGCACATGTTTAATACAGCTCTGAAGCTACAGTAATCTGAAAAGGCTTTTTTTCGGTGCAGACTATGAATCTACATTTTACGATGAATAATGGCCGAATTTGGGAGAGAATTGCTGAAATATTGACCAAGAATGAATGGGTTCGGATGTGTGTGCTCGTATTACGTACCTATCCGAAGTTTTTTGAAACGATGTCGTGATTTTAAAACCTATGAAAGCGCTACACAGTCTTTCAGAACTGTGCATAGTGATTGTCACATCTATCAAGTTATTAGCAAAATTGAGAAGTTTGCCAATAGATCTTGCTGAAATTGCCTTAGATCAGCCATTGTCTAACAACTTAAATGCTAAGAAACAGTTTCCCTTCAGTTAGAACTGTTTTTGCATGATACTGCCACTGTAGTCAAAGTTTCTCAAGATCTCGTGCGACCTCCGATTAAACAACCACTGTATCCCTGCAATTAGAAGCCCCATTTAAAATTGTTGATTTTTTGAGAGACAGGTCTTTATTTCTTTCCAAGTTTATTTGAATTTACTGATCTTGGTGGTTTTTCAGTCATATATAGCTTTATATGTGCTGATCTTTTGATAGTGAAGACAAAATTGATTGATGGGTCCACCGAGTATAAACATGGTGGGTTTAAGTGTTTGTACTTTTCCATTACAATGGGTGAACTTATCGCGTATTCAAAATTCAAAATCTTGAAACGTCTGTCGCCCCGTTTTAATGGCTCGTCTGTTTGAGATTACTTCTAAACACAAAGCAAGATTCTATAAATACATATGCATGTTGTACCATTTGCAATAAGTACTCGCTTTTTATGCACTTGGACAACCGAAGGTCAGCGAAATCCCTCAGGCAAACAGGTGATGAAAATAAAGACAACTCTCGACTAAGGGATATTATTTTGGTAAACCTAATATTGCAAGGAATTCTTGGCATTAGGTGTGGAGAATTCATATATCAACCTTTGGGCGTGAAAGAGTGAAAGCACTGCAATTGCAAAGGAGTGAAATTAAAGATTTTTTAAAAAGAGATTGAAAGAAGAAGAATTTCGTTCTAAGTAAGTGTATCTTTTAAGTCTACTTCAACATCCAACTTTTTCCGCGTGTTTTTCCGTCATATTGAGTCAGCTTGCAGTTATAAATATATTCTATTTCTTTATAAACACCTCACGTGTCTCTATAAATACATTTCAACCCACCTTTGAATGTCAACTGTTTTCAACCAATCAGAGCGCGCGTGTTGTACTCCAATGCTATTAAGAACAGAGAGTATCGTGGAAGATTTTAAATCTCCTGCAATTTTTAAGACAACAATTCACGCCAGGCCTGCTACGTTGAAAGTTTTCTTTTATGAACGAAATTTACCGTTTGAAGATTTCCTCACTACTGCGATGGTTAAAAATTTGCTCTCGTTGTAAACGGTACATGTTGTGTCCACTTTCATCCGCTTCCAAGCCGTATCGACTTTTTCAATTTTATACCTTTTCGTTTCTCGGATTTCTTTGCTACCGGCCCCAACTTGAGGATGAAACAATTAGGGTGAAAATATGCAACACAATCACGTGTTATACTAACTTTGGTTGAGAACTTTTAGAAAAAGGTGTAATTTTGTGCGTCTCATTAGAGTATCGTGTCCTACTCTGTTTGTCTGACGAACTGGAGTCTGTTTAATAGTGATGATAATAACAATAATAATAATAATAATAATAATAATAATAATAATAATAATAATAGATATTTTTTCAAATAATAATAACCCTAACCCTAATAATAATATCTGTTTCATCAGTCTTGTCTTTACAGTGATGCCCTATGATGTTAAACTAGTCTTAATTTCATGACATTTTCTTAGTTATAACCTATGTCGTCGCCCGTCACGATAAACACGGTTAATAATAGACTATTATTTTTAGTTTTATTTGAAGGTATTAAATAAAAACGAATGGTTCCATCAACATGTTATTCAACAGTTCGTTTCGTTGGATAAGTTTTTGCCAAAGATTTCAAAGTTTTACAATGGACATTTTAGTATTGCATCATTTATTCATTGGAAACTTATATAGTTTATTGGTTTATTTAACTATGTTTCACCATATTTCATAAGGCATACCTACAAAAAAAGGCTAAGAGTTGATACAAATAGAACTGAACTTACTTTACAAAAGGGTAAACAGAAAAAAGCGAAAAAAATACAAAATACGTTATTTTGATACATACAAACAAAGACGAAATTAAAATATAAACTATTAGCTAGAAATGACCACTTTTGTTACTTCCCGATCGATCTAACAAGGTGGCAATAAACGTTAACAAAAAGACATCAGAAAGTCACGAATAGATTGAAGTTAAAATACACGTGTTTTAGATAGTACAATTTATATGCCGCTTTTGCGGTTTTGCGTAGCTCCATTTGTTTGTCAATTTAAAACGGTGCTAGCAACTGAATGGTATCGGTAGATCGCCAGAAAGGAATTCATTCAGTAGTCATTCACAAGCACTGTGTCCCTCGTTTTGACGGCTGAAAACGCCCAAAAAAAGCAGAGGATAACCTCTTTTTGTTGTAAACTCACTGTAGAAGGGCATAATTTACGCTTAAGGACGTTCGCGCAAAAATTTTTCAACATTGTTTTCTTTTTTTCTGAGACTTTTACCACTGTTAGATAATGAGTTGTTTATGTCAGAAATGTAAAAAAAATTGGGGTCACCGACTTCGTTTTGGAGAGAACATGCCCGGAAGAACACCGTAAATCTGAAAAATTCGGGCTTGGTTAGCGAATAAGGCCACAGTGTCTGTAAGCCCAAAAATATTGCAATTAGAACTTTGAAGTGAAATTTTCTCTGCCCAATATTGTTTAAGTGGACCTATTAAGTGAATTTAGTCAACTGGAGAGGTTCCTTAAAGAACAAGTTCGCATTCAGCGACCATAGTTTCACGCGCCTTGCAGCCGCAAGATGGCAGGATTCGATGTCCCGTGGACAGAAATCTTGAAAATTTTTTTAACTTTCCACATTAATTTTTTGTTCATTTTTGGACAAAGTGGAGATAATTGTACATAAAATCTAGAAAGAAAGATAGGGGTCACCGAACGTCCAAGATCGTTAAATCCAGGCAAAGCTGTAGCAATGGCCATCTGCCCTATCATTGTTCATTTTATTACTTAGCGCGCGCTCATGCATGACGTGGCGTGTGAATTTGCGTGCGCAGTACGGATGTGCAGAAACAATTAGCGCGAACGTCCTTAAAGAATCGTTGACGCGCACAAATTGCTTTTAGCTGAAACCATTGAACTGTCCGGGGATCTTAATTTGTGTCTGCCGTCACGTGCCGTCACCGCCCAACTGATTTATAGTTCACTCACGTTCTCTTTATGATGCGTATCTAGAACTGACATTCAAAGTTCTTACCGCATTCTATTTTTATTAAGCTTTTGTCCGCAAGGAAACAATGCGAAACCACAATGGGCAAGGTCAAATAATTGCGATTACAGATCACGCGATGTGAAGATCACGGAGTACTTGGTCAGCTAGTTTTGGTTGAGCCTCTTTAATCTTACTACACGATTGATGTAATTGATTCACGCAACCTTTGACGCGTTTTAAAATCATTTACAGGAGATTCTAGATTGCATACATGGTTCTCGATATTTTAGACCACAATTATCTGCATTACATCTCAGCGATTTCAATTGTTAAAGCCCTGTTAGAAATTTTTTACGCGATCAAATCTATATTCACTAATAGCTGTTCTGAATGCAATCACCACTTCCCACATTAAGCATTTTGTTATTCTTAATTTCTTCAACTAAAACTTCTCTTCTGTAGTGTTTTCTTGGATAGACTGAGATAGAATAATACTGCACGGCTCATCGACCAATTTTTGTCTCATATAAGTCCTCTATCTTCTCATGGTGAGTTTTAGCGCTCGCTCTTGCATGAACTCGATCTCCTGACTAAAGAGGTAGTACTCCGTAACAACAATAGCGCCATTGTGAATAACAATCACGGTCTATACATCAGGGGTGGCGAATGGTCCTTCAAAAACCATGGGTCTCGCAAAATTTTCGCTAAATTTCACGGGACTCGCAGTCTCGTTTTTTAGCAGTTATGTGTGTCTCGCAGTCTCGATTTTTCTCACAAAGCTGTCTCGCAGTCTCAATTTTTTTAAGGCTAAGAAAGTCGCGAAGTACCGATTTGTTGATTTGTTGTTTGGTTAGAACCTGAACGTCTTCAGTTCGCATTTAAAACACTTCAAAGTCTCGGTCTCGGAATTGAAGAAATCAAAATGTCTCGGGCTCGCAAAGAAAAACGCTAATCTCGTCGTCTCGCAAGGTCTCGCATTTACCATTCGCCACCCCTTACATTGACTAACTAAGTAGAATGATTTCGTTGTTGGTCTCAATGACACAGTCCTTGCTTTAATTTATACACACTGTTGATTAAAAATGCAGCTTAATTTCTGTAATTGTCTTGTAATCAGAAGTGCTGCTAAAAGTTCTTGCGATCATGATTTTTGCGTTCCAAACGCTCAACTGTGTGTACGACCTATAATCTAAATCACACAAGGCTAGTTCGTCAGAGAACGAACAGGGGGCCCACCTACACTAAAACTGGCTATCCGCGAGCCAGTCTAACTGTAAAAATATAAATAGGAACGAAAAAGAAAGATCGACTGAAAGGTTGAACATAATTATAATAAAGGACGTAGGTAAGCGCAAAATAAACTGGATTCTCGATACCAGCTCATTCACTTCAAAAGAAAGAAAAGTCCGTCTCTAGATATGAGAATGGTTACCAACCCTCCTCGATTAGTAAACAAAATGGCGGATGAACCTGCGATCTTCCTCTTTGCATTGCTGGTTGCGTAGCTCCTCGCAAGGGTAGGATATTATCAAACCTTGCGCGAGTTTGGCTGGCTCTTCAGATGATTACTTGAGGTAAACTAACACCAAATGTCCTTAGTGCCCCTGCGTGCAGCTCATTAACAGTGCTGAGTGTGGTCTCAGATCGTTCGGCGGTCGCGCTATTGTTTGTGACGTTTTCGTAGAGGTCTGGGCGAAAATGAGTCATGATTGGCTAATGCTTGTCCGGCAAGAAAATGTCGCCGATGTTATCACTGTGACTATGTACAGCATAAAACATAAAAGGAACGAAACGTTATCCTTATGTCTATGCTTGGGCTTGTGCTTGTGTTCTGGCAAAACCGCAAAGCCTGGCTATCACTACGACATAAGCCAAACACAAGCATTATCATAACCGTAGTGAGGATACCCACAACACAAACATAAGTACAAGCAAGTGCACAAGTATAACAAAAAACTTAGTTGTCCTTGAGCATGTGCTTATGCTTATGTGAAGTGAGAACGCGCTGCTGTAAGTATAAATATAAGCCGGCATAGACGTCGTCCGCCATCTTGTTTTGCTGTATCAAGGGGGTAAGGAACAGATGTTTATGCTTATGCTTGTATTTAAAGATTGATTGAAGATTCTACGATTGGCAACCTTTCTCATTCCCAGTGTCAAACATTTTTATTTTTTATTTCTATTTTTATGTATGCCCATATGTTAATGTTTTATACTTGTCGCTCGCTTATGCTTATACTTGACCGAGCTTTCGCTTATGAGTTAGTGAAAACCAGTCTTTGTGTATCAGTTTAGTGTCGCGTCATGCAAAAATCTAACCAGAGTGTATCAGCTCTCGTAAGCTTTTAATTCTGTTCGTGTCAGTGTGTTGACAACCGAAGTCTCTAAAGCCTGGTTTTCACTAGCGATGCAAGCACAAGCGCAAACACGAGCGCAAGCATAACAGCTCTTATTTAACCGTGTAACGGCCTCGACGCAAGTATAAGCACAGATGCAGGCACAAACACAAGGATCAAAAGTTTTCTGTTTCTTACGCTTGCGCTTATGCTTGCGTTCGCTTTATGCCGCGTGGAAAGGAAACACCACATGAGCACAAGGAAATTTACGGCGTCTGGCCAATTAAAACACTTGTTCCAGATTGCCCCTCGTCTGAGCATTTGAACAAAATGGCGGGGGCCGCGGTTGATTTTGATGAAAGGTTTTCCGAGGTTGTTGGAACTATGGAATATTTTATGACAAAGAGTGTGGGAAATCTAAAGTCAGAAATATAATAGCGCAATTAAGTATGAAATAAAAGTCACGATCTCTAAGTCATAACTCCTGTACGAGGTTGGAAAAATCACCTTGGCTTCTTCTTTGTTAAAAAAAAATCCCTTATTCAAAAACGTGTCGTTTTACTTTTTTGCAGTCGCTTCCGCTTTCTTCGTCGCAAGAGTAGAAGAAAAAACAACACCCGACGCTTGAGAGTTTCTGTTGCCTTACTGGCCGAGTCGAGAACGGAGCGTTACAACTAGTAAACATCGTGTTCTCATGGTTTGTGATTTGCTTATACCGACGTTCGTTTCAATGACTTGGCATAAACCTCTATGCTCACGCTTGTGCTTGCGTCGCTAGGCTGAAAACCCGTCTTAACCAGCGCAGGCGGACAGGAAACAAGGGAAAGCATGAATCGTCTTCATATAGAGCCTTGATCAACATGCAAGCGTCGTAGAAGACGATTTATCGCTAGAGTGGATGAAGAGTGAGGGAGTTAATCCACCCATATCACGTTATTTTTAAATATGGTATCCACAGTCCTTCCGAGAATGATGTTATCAAAAGTGTCGCGTAGATGCTTTAACGGAGAATGAAAATGCGCGCGAAGTCGCTTGGGCTGTACCACGTGAGTAAAATCCGCGGCTGTTTTCTAGTGAGGATGGGTGCACGACACTGTGGGGTAAAGGAGGGAATGTCGTCTCAAAGAAATGAAACTAAAGGCAGATTTTCAAATCATAAGTATGCAATGATATTTTACTAGCAGCATTTCTCATTTTTCTTCGTGTTATGAGAAGTAAATTACAAAATAAGGGCCCTGTATTTAAAATCACCTTTGGAAATATGCGGCAATCCCAGACTGTACTATATACATTGTACATAAATATGTCTTTTGTATTGTTGTCTGCATAAATCATGATCAAATTCCTTGTAGAAATATAGAGTACGAAAGTACCAGACCTCGCGTATTTGTCTAATTACACAATTAAGATTATACAATCGTATTACAATATATTAAAAGCCAAATTGCATATACTAAACGCTTTGATAAAAAGTTATCGTACATTATTTTATGTACTCCTGGGTTCTTTTGCTGCCCAGTTTTCGATCATTTATTTCTTCTGGAGTTACTGTACTGTTTTGAGACATGTTTCAACGAAAACTAAAATGTAAGTCTTTTCAAATTCTAACGCAATCGCTAATTATGATTTTATAGGTGACCTATGATTTAAGAACAATGCATTACCAAATAAAGTCACCTTCGCAGACCATATTTGGGTCGTCACGTAATAGAGACAAATCACGTGACGCCACAATAACGACAGCGAATTAGATTGTAGAATTATGCTTATGAAATCTAGCTTCAAAAAAGTAACATTTAATAATATCTAGTAATTTCGTCCAATTAAGCAATAATTCGTTGAAGTACTTTTGCTTATAACTCCGATGACAATTGCATGTTGCATGAGAAATAGCATCAAATTTTGCCGAAAAGCAAGATCAATAAGATTATTATTGTGCTCAATCAGAAGTCCATCACTAGAGCGTGCAACTACCCCATATTCCTGTAACGGCGTTTTCACAGACCGATCTATTTTTAGTTTAAATTTAACGCGAATTTAGACCCACGCAGGAACCTCAGTGACCAATCACAAGCACGGTCTCAATTTTTAACTGACGTCATCATTCTACCGGAAGATTAAGTCGACATGTCTACCTGAAGTTCCTTACCGATGCGCGCTCGTGTAGACCAGAACTGGCGTATTTCGAGGGAAAAGAAGCCTAAAAATAGACCGATCTGTAAAAAAAACCGTGAGATACGCTTAGTATGGGAGTTGCTCGCTCCTAATGATTGGCTCCTGTCTCAATGTTCTTTGGTTAAATACTGGTACATTTGATATAAACAGTTCAGTATAAAAAAATTAACTTTGGTCGTAGTAGAATACCTCTTGCCCGGTAATAAAGCTTTTTATATCCCCTGGAATTCTTTTCTTGTTTCAGTTTTCTAGATTTTGAATAAGTTCTTCTAATAAATAAAGCTAGCTCACCACACAAATAATCGCATCAAGAAAAGCTATATGTTTCTGATTGCTCCAAGAAAGTGGTTAAACTATTCTGCAATTAAATCGTTTTTAAACAAGTGACTTTTGAACGCATTGAAGTAGAAACTCGCTAAAAATCATGCTCCAAGTTTATCAGATATATCTAAATATTTTATCGATTTTTTCAGCTGTTGTGTTATCTGTTTTTGTAACTTTTACTCTTTGAGATCAACGTAGCCGATGAAACTGAGTTTCAGTTCACAAACTCGATATGCCGTTTCGTGGTTGTTAAGGTATAAGCTTGCGTATAATTTAAGAACTGTTTTCACCCCCACCTAATTTTTGCAAAACCTCATAGTTTCACTAACGACGCTTACCAAGTGTTTTTTCCCGCCAAAACGACGTGATCACTCGCACAGCGGGAAATATCACTCTTCCTACCAGCTTGAACCAGCTTGTAAGATCTCTAACCCCGCTCACTGCCTAAAAAGTGTCCCTTTAGAGTATCAGTTCTCTAAATTTGAATACTTGCCAAACTGTTGTTAACTATAAGAACTGTACCACCGTGGAATAAGTTGCAAAAATATCGCGGCGATGTTTTTGGTATGCCAGTTAACTTGATTGTTGGTAGACCAGTGTTGCAATTGCACCGACGCCCACTGCTGCAAGACAGAGCTTTTTCCACCATGTTTTCTCTCTTTCCTCGCAGGCCTCTCCAAAGATCTGATTAAATGCTTCCTGTTGAAGAGAAAAAAGGAAGAGTAAATTTCTGTCGCATTAGAGCGAAAGTAATCAGGCAATTAGTTTGGTTTTGGTTTCGTTTTATTACGGTTTAAGATTGGCTGAGTTATCTAATTGGTAAGTAATTGGTTTGGTTTAGGTTTTGCAACATTGAATTGAAAACCGTTTCATATGTATGACTGGATTTAGAAAACTGTGTCTACGAAAACTTTGCGTTCCTTTGCACCAAATGTATACTCATTCTGATTTCACGACTCCTAAAGGCCGGCCTAAAAATCACTCCAAGATATAAAAATTAGAGAAGAATACGAAAAAGAACATGATATAAGAGAGTGGAGGGGAAAAAAAGATTGACATTCCGGCATTGAATTTTTACATCGTCTGCTTTGGAGAGTCTCTTGCGAGAAAAAAATACGCAAGAGCCGGGGCGAGATTTACTTTGCACTGTTTTCATAAATCCAGACTTGTGTATTTTCTTCATTTAAAAATTACAAATATATGTAAAGCGATTTAATACAGTTCTAGAACTTAATCATGAAGACGAAAAGGAAATGCGGTTTCGGCTCAGCGTTACTTGTAAAGCGCAATTTATCATCTTTGTTAACTCGCTTCATCCAGCCCAATCGTGCAAATACGAATACATTGCAATGCAATGCCTTGTATTGGTCTTGCAGTGCCTTACATCGGTGAGACGGGAACAACAAGGCCTAGTCTGTCTCCAAACTTTTCAATCTTCTGTGCTATCAGTTAACAATGTTAGATTAGGAACTCGAGATTTCTATCGCGTTATAGTTGATTCTGGCTGCGTCCTCGTCAGCTATCACGCTTGGAAATCGATAGCGAATAATCTAATTGTTTTAGTATAAATCTACTAGTCGTTCAAAACTTGATCTAAATCCTCTTCACAGACTCCTCAAAAACGAAAAGAAGCGGCTGTCATTTTTTTAACAAGCGCACACAGCTACGCTACTCACTTTCTTCAACAGAATAGATAGTGAGTAGCGCAGCCAATCGGAGAACGGCATTCGTGACAGAACGCTGGTAGATTTATACTAATCGCTGAAAGATAATGATCGCGCGCGCTGGTTTTGAAACTGAAAATTATTCTTAATTTTAAGCTTGAAATTGCAAAAGTTGTAGCTTTTGTGCTGTAATCCGTTAGAGTGTGTACTAAAACAATTAGACTACTCGCTCTCGTTTTCTCTGAGCAAATATTCAACTCGAGTTCTTAGTGTAATTGTTAATTAATGCTCCATCTTTTTATAGCGCTAAACGAAAGTTCTTTGAGGTATATACCCCTCGCAAAGTTAATTGCTTTTCACAAGGTCATAATTACCACTAGCTGGTTTTACAAAATTGTACCTCATGCCAGGACAATAAAATTTTATCTTAACCGTTATGATTAGTCTCCGAAGAGCTGACAAATATTTTATTATCCATAAAAGAGAGAAGTTTTAACCCAAAGATTATCGTTGTGCTCCAAGCATTTTTTTGTTGGGTCTTCACTTAAGAGAGAAAAAATTCTGAAATCGCGTGTATGTTACACATTTACATATAAGTATCAACAGATTATATTTATTCTTTTAGGCACTAACTTGCCATTGTTAGTTTTAATTAGCTTTTGCTTTTAAGCCAAAATCGACGATATCTTATCTTCACGGAATGGTTTAGTCTTATTTTTGCATAGTCAGCAATTACTTTTAGCTGAAATTGAGACGAACGGTATGTTAATCATTGATGTTGAGTTTGCTATTTTTGTATCTTCGCATCTTCGTTTATTAATTTATTCTGAGAAAACCGCAATGACATTATAGCAACGGGAATGTTCAACGAAATATCTGAGAAAAGGGCATTGATGCAATATCTTAATTCTGCATATTTCCGCGAAACACAATGGCAAACTTGTATGTTTGTTTTACAGATTGAACAAGGTTTTCAGTTACAAATTCTCTGTTAAAAAAGTACTTTTTCAAGGGATAGATGTACTTTGTTTCGGATGATTGCACCTTTCTTATATAACCAATTTTAATCGAATTGGTGTTATAAGACGCTATTGCAAGCTTCAGTTCCCTGATCAAGTGTTTCTCTCTATCATTTTCACATTAAACGTGTTACTCGGAGCGTGCGAGATCAATATCGTTGGCGTTTTCGTGTACTTGCGATATGCGTTGCGACATTTGCTATAAAAAGGCGTTTGTATCTGTATTCAAGGCACGTACTGGGCAGGTCTATAGCGTAATGAGTTAAATTAAAACAAACAAACAACAAGTCACAGTGTTGCTTTCAGTAAACAGCGAAACCCACAACATGCTAGTTCACGTAGATACAAGTAACAACCAAGAAGGTAACGATAAAAAAATTTGAAAAAAAGACTAAGCTAATTTTTCATGGTACCCAGTCCGTGACAGTTGCCTCCTTAAGACAGAACAAACCCTTCTGAGTCAATATTTACTAAAAGCAAGTCGACATGCAAAATAACTCCTTTCTTGTTTACTTTGATTTAAATCGTTGACATCTATACATGCTTACGTCTTTTATTTTCTCGCCATTGGAGACCTGTTTTATCAATTCAAAATCTCCCTCACGCGACATTTTTGCCGTGTCAGCAATTTAATAAGATTTTTTTTCATGAAACTTTTCCTTACACGTTTATTCTCTATCTTCCTGGTGAACTGAACTGATAATTACGATATCACGTTTCGTCGAGACGTCGACAAAGCGTGACTCCACTCACGTTTCTCAATTCTGAGTTCACTGAGCCGTTTATGCAATTCTGTACGTAATTCTGTGTTAATTTTATTTTCTTCCAGAAAAAAATACGCTACTTTGAGAAACGCAATTTTGCTCGAAAAATGATTTCAACGAACCGTTGGAATCTTGATTTTGTCTTTTTCTTTTTTTATTATTATTATTATTATTTTTATTATTTTATTTTACTTTTCAATTTTTTGGATTCAAGTTTAAGACCCAAGAGACCTTGTTAGCTTGTTCTCCCATTACACACCACGTGATATTCTCTGGAGAACTGTTCTTTTATCCATCTAAACATTATTCATTCGTATACGAGGGGAACGATTTTTTTGAAAATTTGAAAGCAGCAATTTTCAAGAGTATCATCAAATGCTCTTAAATGGGGCAACAAAACGTACAAGCTAAACTGATCTATCGCAATGAAAATCATGGAAAACGAAAAGATGTCCATTTGTTGGAAAACGGACCGGCGACGAAAATTATGGCTCTCCATACCAAAGAAACTAAAATGGAAATTTCTTATTTGCATTTTTTCTCTAAATAAGCCATTATCTCATAGCGTGTTTGCCGCCCTCCAGTGAATAATAACTGATCCAGTTTCAGTCTAAAAATTTTGCAAATGTGCAGTTTTCTGTGGGTATCTAACTACTAAATTAACAAGTTAAAACCAATTATTGCACGCAGCTCCCCTATGCCGGATACCCACTACTACTGTCATTACTTTTGTCACTTTTTTTCGGCCTTGTATCCAGTTTGTCTCATACTGCCATGAAATAATTAACCGTACAAATTTTTTGCTTTAACTTTGAACCGGTAACCTAGCAACGGTCGAGCGATCCACTTTTGTGTGTGGGTGATTTTTTTCTCATTCATATGAGACTTGCACAAAAAAAAAGGCAAGAAGCAAGTTGTCTATCTTGAGGTTACATTTTCCTTCCTGAAATGCAAGATTTATGGCGCAAAATTGGCCTTTGTCGAGTACTAGTGTCTGCACTCAATGCAAATGTATTGTATTCTTAAACTGTTTGGGTTTTTACCGGCCCAAGCACTTTTCGTATATGACAACTTGTTAATATAAACAGTGTGGTAAAGCTATTTATGTAACTGATAATCTTTAGCCTACAAGCCAGAACGTGCTTTGCAATCTTAATTCCCAGTACAAAATTAAACCTTACGTACCACTACATTTTGCTCCAACGCTTTTCCATATTTATACCAGGTTAAACCGAGGATATCTTCGAGGCGTTTCGCCTTAAGCGCTAGGTTTAAGAAATGGAGTTTCTGGGAACGAAGTGAGTGAACGGGCGAATTAAACTAAAACAACCTCGAATCAATAAATTCCAACTGTTTAAATATTGTCACTTTCCTTCATGTTCAGGAAAAAATATTTATGCACGTAGCCTTTTGAATAGTGATTTTCTAAAGGAGCTTGATATAGTAAGAACTCTGAGATGGTTTGTTATTTCCCTCAGTGGTAGAGTTTTCGCTGTTTGAGGCCTTCCGCGTTTTTTTTGGCTCGACAAATAAAATGATTTTGTCAGTTTTTAAAATATTTAAAACTAAAGCAACAGTTCCGAATTGCAGAAAACTCTTGTCTAATATGAACAGCGTCCCCTGCTCCTACTAATAAGCATTTTGGATACTAATTTGCATTTTGTATTGTATGGCCGAATTTTCGTTGAAAAATCAATATTGCCGGAATATTGCAAGCATAACTTATGCTCAATATAAAACAGGAAGTTTTAAGCTCATTGATGGAAAAAGTTTGCTTTTTAATATCCCCACTGATTGCTAATTTTTAGAGCAAGTAAACGCGTCTTGGAAAGGTGACCTTTAAGTTCGATAAAGTGGTAACAAGCAATTAAATAAAAGCAGAGATGATTCTGTTAGGCAGGACCTTGTAAATAGTAATTTTTCCGCGCTCGCTATAGAGATTGTAAAAACTCTGAGAGCAGTTTCTTTAAATATCTCCGTAAGGAAATTTCTCTCAAGCTAGAAGTAATTCAAAAATCTAGAAATGTAACTTTGGCAAGGCTGCGAATAAAATGTTGAAATATTTTCTTAACAGCTCTAAAATGATAATATTTTCTAAATATTTTATAATTTTGCTAAAGATAGCGCTTTTTGGCGTCTGTGAGTCAGACCCTGTTACGGGTAACTTACCCAACCGCCATGGGCACAGATCCATTCTGATAAGCTTGAAATATAATTTCCAACCCAGTCGACTATCTGGTCTACATCTTGTTGCAAGCCGTTGCCCATACAGTACTGCGCCAGTTTCGCTCCGAACGCAAAGATAGCCACAATTCTACCCCAGTTCACTCCATCGCGGAACACCTCGTCTGCAACCTGCACGAATTTCGAGTGCGCCGAGCCACTTAGAACATTTAATCTGCCGCACATGTTGGCGAGAACCCCTGCATGACGTTCTTCGAGCTCGTCGGAAAGTTTCCGTAAAATTGCAGCGCTTCGTGTCGGTGGAGGACTTCCCTTGCCTATACGATACTTAACGAGGTCGTGTGCTAAGCTGTGTGCTTCCAGGCTTACCCGTCGTATCTCCTCGCTGTCCGAATCTTGATGCGACAATCTGCTTTTCTGCGAGCAACTCATACCTCAGAATGACCGCTTCAAATGTACTTTGCTGTGCTTTTTCTTCGCGTTACAAGTTAATCAGTCATTCGATTTTACTCTTGTTAAAGCTGTACGCTCGCTTTCATTAAGAATGATTCGTAGAATTATTATCTTGCGAGGTAAACCCTTAACTCGCCACCTGTTACATGCACTGAACGGGTTTCCCAATTCTAACTGGTTCTTTCCATGGAATCAACGAACGTGATTGGTTCACGGCTGATAGATGTGTAAATCACTTTTCTTGTGGGCAGTATTCATGTTAAAATACACTGATGAAGTAGGTAAATATAAATTCATTCAATTTTTTTTTTTGACTGACATGGACTCGAATGACCTGTCGTCTTATTGGCTTGCGCGATTTTTAATTGCGCAAATTCTTTGAGTGGAATCATTCGTCTTGCGAGTTCTGTAAGAAATTATTAGCGAAATAAAAACCTTCTCGCGGGTAAAATTTTCATGTACTATTTTATCCCGTCCTTGGTAGATTTTAAGCGGCGGACAAAAAAGCATCTTTTGAGACAATCGATAAAAATTCAAATTAGGGAAAATGTCAGCGTTGGCGCGAGATTAAAATCCGCCCACCTCCAAAACTCGCTCACGTATAGAAGAGAAAAAACTTACCACGCAAACTAAAATCGTGTTTGTTTTGTTTGTTTTAACTCTTTACTGTGGAAAAGTAAACGACTAGAAACTTCAACTGTTACAAAGACTAATGCGATTGAGACAATTGCCCGTTCCTTGGGTAACGTTACTTCGAGTCAAGGCTGCTCCATTCATGAAAATTAATCGGGTTTCTTTTGCACGGAAACGGGAGAGCATTCGTGGAAGCTCTTTCAAGCATGCTGTGAAAAAAGAAAATAATGCAATTTAAACTGAATATTAAGTACTTTTTTGCTTAACGTATTCATGTGCAAAGTGGTTCTTAAAACGCATGAATAGTCTTTGCTGGTCAGTTGTTTAAAAAACCATTCTTGAGCCAGACCTTATAGTTGCGAAATATCGATCGCAAAATTAGCATTTGGAATTCACGCAAATGGCACGCGACAGGAAGCATTTGCACTTGACGATTCTGGGGGAGGCAAAGTCCTTTATTTTTCCAAGGTCATGAAAAGGGCTATTTTTACATGGGGCGCCATATATAGCTTGCTGTAGAGATTGTTTGCATAAAGAATCACTATAGTGAAAAACGATTAGTTACTGAATGGCGATGAAAACCTTTCGTGCTGAGAAATCTATGCCAGCCTTGAGCGTAGTCTGGAATCCAGTTGGATGTAAACAACTTGCACAATATTGCCCGAGTGACAAGGGTTAATAATCCCGGGTTAATAACACCTTCGTATAAACTGGCAGTACGTGTAAGGGTGTAAGGAGCCTGTCACGGAAAAATGAGTAAATTTTGAGTTTGAGTTGTCTTCAAATAGTGGCAAACTTCAAAGATAAAAAAAGCTTACCTCGGTGGAACGAGCAGTAATGAAAAATTCTTAGAGTGCGATCGGTACCTTCAATACATTTGAGAAATAAGTTTTCTTTTTGGGCGGGGGGAGGGGGGGTGGGGAAGGGGGCGCTACATTCCGCCCGTTTATTTGCAGAACTCAATTACAGTCGAACCCCTATTAACCGGCCGCCTGTTAAGCGACCACCCCCTATTACGCGGCCATTTAGTCCCGAAATTATTGTCAATAAAGTATTGTAAATAAAACTCCTACTGACCGGCCACCTCTCTGAAGCGGCCGCGGCCACCTTCTGGTTGTCCCGATGAGGGTTTTCTATTGTCCTTTCCGCTATTAAGCGGCCACTCAAAATTTAATGCAGTACACGTAGTTTGGCCTTGTTTTGGAAAAAGCGATGGCAGATATCAGTCCGCAATTGAAAGCGACGACTGAATAAAACATTCAAACACACGTTTATTATAATTGTTTTGACGTGATTCCATGTTCACTTAAAGGATATGATATTTTCGTGTCAAGTGAATCAAAACAGTGATACACAGTCTTTATTATGTTTAAAAGTGGCGACAAGCCTTCAGGCATGTTTGTAATTGAATAAATTGACATTTCAACTAAGTTTCGTGATAATTCTTAACGAACCTCTAATAAGCGGCCAACCGCTATAAACACTTAAGCGGCCACGTTCTTCCATTTCCCCGACGGGACCGCTTAATAGGGGTTCGTCTGTACAGTACTTCCTTTTATATGGTTAACAAGAAGAGGTCTCCTCAATAAACTTCCCTTGTTCAGAGTGGAGTTGAGAATGATTGCGTGTCAGCATCAGTTTCCATAAATTTATAACTTCAATAGAAATTTATCCATTTATTTATTTCAAACTTCATACGAAGTAATGCTTATAAAAAAAGTGACCTATTTGTAGCAGACCAAGTTCTTATAATATTATCACTCAACAATTATGAGCAATAAATTTATAAAAAGTAATTTTTGAGAAAATGCGTGCGATCAAACTTTTGACAAAGTCAATTGAATTAGTGCGCATGCAAGTCACAGCAGGTCACATGTTTTATGAAGGTCTTTAAATACATGAACTTAAACTGACCAGTTATGGCTTATATGAATACCTTTAGCATTTTATATTTAACAATTAGATTTCTAGCTCGAGATTTCAGTTGCGTAATAGTTGACGAAAGGAGAAGCCTTAGTCAACTATCACGCATGAAAACAAAGCGCACACTGCTACGCTACTCACTATCTACTAAAGAATTAGATTATGAGCTCGAGATTTCTATCGCGTGATAGTTGTTGAGGGCGCAGCCCGAGTCGACTATCACGCAAAGGAATCGAGAACGAATAATCTAATTGTTTTAGTATAAATCTACTAGTGGTTCTTTATCTAAATCCTCTTACGCTTCAAAAATGCGAAAAAGGGGCCGCCATTTTTTTTAACAAGCGCACGCTACTACGCTACTCACTGTCTACTAAACAATTAGATTATGAGCTCGAGATTTCTATCGCGTGATGGCTGACTCCGGCTGCGCCCTCTTCAACTATCACGCATAGCAATCTTGAGCTCATAATCTAATTGTTTTAGTTTAAATCTATTAGTCGTTCAGAACTTTATCCAAATCCTCTTGACAGACACTTCGAAAACGCAAAGAAGCGGCCGCTATTTCGTCAACAAGCGTACACCGCTAGGGAGTAGAGTAGGCAATAAGGGAACAGCATTCATGATAGAACGCTTGTAGATTTATACCAAAAGGTTATAGAAAAATTATCCTGGTTGAAGCAATAGAAGTGATGGCTTTGCTTTACTGTTAAACCAATCTGAGTTAAAAGAAATAGAATTAGAGAAAATAAGTCTAAATTACATGCGCTGGTTGTAGTATAGTGGTGACTGATGATGGGTACATTTGATCATGAAAAATTAGAAGTATATCAGATAGATATGAAAGGTAAAAGAGGATGGTACTTTTCAGTGAAAGTCACAAAGTCATTGATATTTTATTTTACAAATGACTTCATTCTTTTCTACGAGGGGTGGGTAAAGTTAAAATCTACAGTTAGTCTCACATGGTAAAATTTAGTGTGTGGCTCCCTTTATTTCAGCTAGGTTCACTTCAACAGGACATTTGATTTGATAGAAGTGGAAAAACACAGTGTGAACCTTTTGAAGTGAGTAATATTAAAGTTGTAGCCTATTTTGTGTACAATGTACTTTGATGCCATTATTATTATTATTATTATTATTGTCGTCGTCGTCGTTGTTGTTATTATCATTATAATAATAATAATAATAATTATTATTATTATTATTATTATTATCATGGCCTTTAACATAGGTCTGAACTAGGGAACTAATTATAACGCAGGTTTGAAACAGGGTATTGATTCAGTTAAGGATCAGGTCTTAAATGGAGTCTCCAAGTTTTGGTCAGGTCATAAATAGGGTAGGGAAAATCGCAGATTTTGGTCTTAAATAGGGTAAGGGTTTTGGAAAGTGGCCCCCACACCTCCACCCGATGCTTTTTGGAGTATCCCCCGGATATCCCGCCTGGTATAATCTTGAAGTCAAGCTACTCCAACCTTGGCTACCAAGAGTTTTCAACAAATCTTGGCAGGAGTAACTCATGCTGAGATCTGACTTTGAGATTTGATACTGACTTTTTGTTTGCCATGTACATGCATGATCAGATAATTTGATTGTTAACTGTTCAGAAGAGACATCATATTTTCTATTGGCTGCCAACCACATTCAAATTTCAATGCAGATGGAAACAAGCAGCCAGAATAATTTGAGCTCAAAGGAAATTTGATTGAGATGTATAACTGTAGGGGACACACACAATGATAAGCTATAATTGCACAACATCCATGAAGCCAGCTGCAACAAAAACAGTTTCGAAACCAGCAATAAAACAATGGTTTACCCTGAACTCATCTAAAAAACAACAAGCTATCTAGCAAATAAGAACTTTGATCTCAGTGCAGACCAAATACACAATTTGTTTTTCTATAAGAATATATTTTATGAGAATATCAAGGCTGAAATTTTCGAAATTTTAAGAATATTTTAAGCATAAACCTGTGTTGTGTGCTGAAAATTTGTTGATACAAACTGCTCGAATTGCGACTTCGTGTGTTGTGGCCAAAGCAGGACAGCTGTTAAACCTCCGACTCCGCTGCGGGTATGCCTTCTAGGCTTTCGATATCAAAGAAGGTAAAGAAGCAAAGGAACCTCGGCCCTCGCTGTGTTTTAGTAGATTTCGGAACTTTAATAGGAGGTTAAATAAAAGGCAGATGTCCCCTGACCAAACAATAAAAAACTAATGAACGGCAAAGAAATGACTCGCCAAAGAGCGCAACCAAACCTGAACAGATGATCTTAAGTGTAGAAAGACGCAAAAAGGAGTTAAACAACGACAACAGCAACGCCAAGGACAACATCAATTAAAAAATGACTTTATATTCCTTCGAATCTCGCAACAATTTCGACTCATTCAGTTCGTCCATCACTGTCAGAACTATCCCAAACTGAATGTGTAAGACAGCGTCAACATTTGAAAAAGAAATTTTCCGTCCTAGTTCACGCTCTCTGGAACACTGCATGCAGAACATGGTCCGGCTTGTAGGGAACGGCAAAGAAATGTAGCAAGAATTATAACGCACGTGCACAGCCATTGTACTCGTTGCCGTTGCCGTCGAGGTTGCCCTTGTGGTTTGCTTTTGCCCCATCCACCCTTCGCCGGAGAAATTTGAAAACGGCGTTTTCATTCGGCAAACGC